TCAATTTGTGTTCATAATTTTACAGCCAAATAAAAATCAACCCGTAGACGATCTTTTCTCTTAACATATAAATTATTGTAAAATAACAGAGCAGTGATTATTCTTGCTTTGGCAACCGAACCTGAGGATGCATTGCTCATGCATTAGTCAGTTTCGTACTCTCTGGAACTCTATATGACAACCACAGACATGGCAAAATATTTTAAGTTTAATTATCATTAACATTTTATTCTCTCAGTGAGTTCACATTACAAAGAGAAATTACAAGTTGAATAGGGAAGAGCGCTACTAATCGCCCATTTCCGTTCTATCGAGCAGAAATCATCAATAATGTCAATGATTTCATGATGCACAAAACAATAATACGTTTGTTCCGATCCGTTAGTTCATACCCGCGCAAAGTCGGTTAACAAAATGAAAGCAAATCGATATTAAAGTTTGAAGTTCATATCATAATGAAAACTAATTTTGATTTCAATTTTTGCGACAGAAGTTTGATATCATATTGTAATTTCATTTTGCAGTCAAGACTTTTAAATGACAGCAACTTAACATGAAATTCTGCTGTTAACGTTTTGTTTAAAATTTAATTTAAGTTCATCTGTCGTTGAACTAACGATTATTGTTTATTTATTTTGTTTGATACATTTTAGATAATTCGTGACTTGCCCGGGGTGAGATTTGAGCTCAAGTCTTTCAGCGTGAGAAGCATGGATGCTAACCATTTACGCCAGGCCCATATTCAGTTAAACATTATGAATGCAAAATCAGTAATCAAATTGATTTGATTGAAAGCAGGATTTGTTTTAACAGTGTAAAATGTTGCTCTCATTTTTGCTGTGTTAACCGTTAAGTCAACCGAAATGAGATCAACTGGAGTATTCAAAATAATTTACATCGTAACAGCAAATTTTGATTTCAATTTGATCTCGAGCTTTGCTCGGGTAAGCCACAACATGAAGCCTATTACAGCGTATTGTATGAATATTTACACTCATTTTTCTCAAAACAAAAGAAGCGTTCCTAGCGAATCCCATTTTTCAACGTTTATCAGTAGGACGAAGAAAATCTTATGAAGTTTCAATGCGTTAGGACGGAATTGAAACTCGTAGGACGAATTTAGAATCAAGAAGCAGTGTTAGATTTTCAATAATATCTCAACATTGTTTAACTTTTTATCAAATCCAACGGCAACGGTGGTGATGGTGATGATGGTGGAATGGTGAATAAATTTAGAAGTAATCTTTGATGAAAACATTCCATGTTTTATTCAAACCCTTTAAAAAAGAGCGGTAAAGTGCGAGATGTGCTTAGTAGGACGGAAATTAGATCAAAAACCCTATGTGATTATTTTCGGATTACTTTTAAAAATGTTTATCATTTGAGCAGAACAATTTTCTCCTGCAAACTCTCGGCTTCTTTTTGAGCATCTTGAGCTCTCGGAATCGAGAGCTTCTTTCATACGACGATCCTTGTCTACATGGAAAGCGAATCCGATTTTTCGAACTCGCTGAATAAGTTCATTCAAAATTTGTAAGTTTTCCAACCCGCCTGCATGAGTAACACCATCATAGATCTGACGTCGCGCTACGACTGAAACGCAATGTGGGCGGATGCGGAACGGAAACAGCAAGTTTGACAATTGTCACAAATGACATCAAGATGCCTAACCGCACTCGATTTGATTTTAACTAATTTTCAATCCGACAAGTAGGCTTACTCAGATCGGGCTTTTCCGCTACCACTGCCGTTCCGCTGTCATTGCGCTTGGGCCTTGACTCTTCCCTCATGTTTTCAAAAAGATATTCTGCATTTACCGAAACACCTCTCTCTGCATTGGCGTCGCCATGCGATAAGCAGCAAATCATTTTCACAACCAACAATTGTTCTGAATACGCCGACCAATAACCTACGCCAAAAAACGTCCAGTCGTTTGCGATCATATTGATCAAATGTGCCTGTGCAATATTGATCAGATGATCAATATTAATGAACCTTTCCATAATGCCTCTAACCATTTGAGACATCGCGTTGAAAAAAAGGCACCATAGGGTTGTCCATCTGAAATTCGCATAGAAATGGCTCAACTTCGACAGCAACTGATTTGAAGAAAGCTTGCTTAATACCACGTTCAGACTGCAGAGTTATAACATGTTATAACGGTTGTCAAATAATTGCAACACAGAAACCACCATCAAGATAGCGCTATAACATGTTATAACTCTGTAGTCTGAACGTACTATTATAGTACGTTCAGACTACGGATTTATAACATGTTATAGCACTATCTTGATGGTGGTTTCTGTGTTGCAATTATTTGACAACCGTTATAACATGTTATAACTCTCCAGTCTGGACAGCGTTTAAGCCATCAGCAGCGAGTCATTCAAACAGTTTTTAACATCTAGGCAGGAAGCTGGCGTTGGTTCGATTTTGTCTTTCTGGATGCCTTGAATAAATTTTCGTATTTGTGGAGTAATTTTGATTGCCCTCTGAACAGCAGCACTATTTTCCAACCATCGGTGACCGCAATACTTTAACGGGAATATGGTAGATCCAGAATACATCGCTCGTATTGCTGGTATATATTTGAAGATATTGTAGATACCACGCAAATATATTACAACATCCCAACTGATACTGCGAACACTATCCTTGAATGCATTATGCAAAATATACAGCCCATAGCTTCCCAGATCTATCAGCTTCTCACCACCTTTTTGTACCTCTAGCTTCAATTCACATTGGGCCCATCCATGGACATTTGCAACAACTTGTTCGAAGAGATACCGGCAAGGGCGTCCATAAACGCAGCGAGTAGATCTGATGCAATGACATTTATATAAGGTCTGGGCCAACAGGCAGCTTGCTGGTGTTAGAAGCAAAATGTTGTAAACATTGCTGAACATCTCCGAACAGATAGAAATACGTCACTGCCAACATACTGAGAACAGATAGAAATACGTCACTGCCAACAGCTGTTTCGTGTAAAAAGATAAACATTGCAATAAAATACGAACACCACTAAACATTTGCACATTTCACTAACACCAATAAGCCTTTTGGCCCAGACCTTATATAAACGTCATTGGATCTGATGCCCGGGATCTTCCCAAAAATTTTGACGTCATGCACTGATAAAATTTCAAAGATTGTTTTATGTGTCCCACACATGATTTTTTGCAATGTGATCAGATCAACATTATTTTTTCCCTAACCTACACTAAAATTCCCTGACTTTCCAGATCATAAATAGAATTCCCTGACTTTCCAGGTTTTTCCAGGTACACAGCAAAAAAAGTTGTTGAATATTACATCGAAACTGCTGCAACCTGGTCAATCCATCGGTTGTGTAATATCACATTGTACGATGTACATCGATTTTGCGAACAAAATTACATCCATTGATGTAATATTGTATCTGCTTTTTGCTATTACATCATTATTTCATACATCAGCTTGAATTACGTTGATCGATATTACATTTTTTTTTTGCTGTGTAGTCGACACCCTGAAAATATTTCCAATTCCCAGAAATAAATATTGCATTTGACAACCGCAGCTTTGTTTGTCAAATACAATGCTAATTTTTCTCGCTATGGATTGGCAATATCGAGGAAGGTATAATTACATATTATATTTAATTTAAAAATCATATGTTAGCATGATTTCCTACTCACATAGGTTATGCGTTTATGGGTAGCAGAGGTGTGTGTGTGTACAATCTAACCCCCACTGTCCGGCAGTGTTATTATGGAAGAAAACTGCTTTTTATTATACTTAAATTAAAGCAGGTTTAGTCCGGGAGTTGGAAGGTGTTAGCTCTATTGCAGCTCCAGTGACCCATTTCAGAATGCCTGGTAATTCACGACCACTCCGAGGTCACTTTTACTTGCAATAAGCCCCGCATGTTCACTCTACCTTTATCAAATGGATAATGGTATCATAAACACACTTCCAGATTAAAAAAATATTATTTCCAAATCTGGCACGTATATAGTTTTGAAATTTGTTCAACTGTATTAAATCTATTTGAATGGATATTTCTTATCAATTTTGTTTGAATACCTCTTGATTCATCTGCTGGCAGCACTTACTGGCCCTTACCGGCGGCCAACGCGTCTGCACGCAAAAGCAACAACGCCTAATAGCGAATTCGTTTATTATTCAGTTCCAACCTGGATCGGGTATCAGGATTGGGTCTGCTTGTTTTCTGACAAACGTCAGTTTGCTCGTTTGTTTTTAAAACCTAGCTCAGGTTGAGGTTCGCACTGACAAAAAGTTCGGTTTCGCACTGGGTTGGAACTGGTTCCAACCCCGATAATAAACGAATTCGCTATAAGTCTCAAAGCTCTCTGGACGTCCCCTCGAAAATACAATCTATAAATTTATAATAACAATCATCAACTCATGCGTTTATGGGTAGCAGAGGTGACTGTATATTAAATTTAATCCAGAAATGCTCAATCTTTGAGAAATGAAAATTGATAACTAGTTCCACTATTACTGTTGCACCAACAGTACCTACTGATACTTCTATTGAATTTACTAAACAATAATTGCTCGACACTTCATTTTTAAATGGGCCGAGAATGGTTTAATAAAGTCATAATTCATAGATGGATACATTGTAAATACAGTGAAATTGAACCAGCTTTTGAATGTTTGCTTTTGTTTACTGACGTCACCTACTATATAAACATCCGGGTAGAAGAAGCGATCCTTTTCGATGGAATATCAATTCAATGAAATAAATTAATTTAATTACGCAGACCTTTACCAAAAACAGAGAATCTCACTTCATAACAGTTATGAATGCAGTTAAGACGACTAATTACCAAAAACAAAACCACAGCAGTAGCATCAGACATCCGATGAAAATCGCAGCAAACTCTCTGCAATTGGAACTTCACGATAATTCTTCCTAAAATCAATAGATCCAATTAATACAAGCGGTCCTCCCGGGAACTTCTTTTTCATTCAAAACAAACTGCAATGCACACTAATCCACGTTTTTTTTTTCTCACTGTAAAGATAGCGATCTTCAAATGTATTTTTATCCGTACCAGTAAACAATCCAGTGTTGTTACAATTTATAATTAATCCTTAAAAACGACGTTCCTTGACTCGAGAGAAGGGGTATGGGAAGCGACTGTGCTGGATGTTGTCGCCGGTGTTGAACTGTCCCTCTGCCACCATCAACGAGCTTAGAACTGCATACGATGCGGGAACTGATTCGTCCGGAGCGAGAACATCGACTTCAGGTAGCGCTGGACAACCTTAGCTTCCTTGTGCTTCTTGATTGCCTTCAGCACGGATTCGTCGACGGTCTTCTGGTCAGTCTTGCGCTGCTCAGATGGAACGTACTTTTCAACCTTTTCGGCGAAGATGTCCCGCTCGGCCCGGGAGTTCTTCTTTTTGGGCATACGGCGGAAGTAGGTATCGTTGATGTGTTTCGGTACCTTGTAGTCCTTCAAGTTGACCCGGGTCTTGGTGGCAATCACGTAGTTCTGCGAGATACGACGCATCGGGCAGCTGTTCAGGGCGAATGGTCCAGTGACCAGCAGCAGACCCGATTTCAGTGCCTTCAGCAGGACGACACGCTTTCCCTTATGGCGACCAGCCAGCAAGATCAGAATCTTACCCTTCTTCAGGGTCTTACGGATGTTGCGCTTATGGTTGCGGAAGCATTTCTTGCCGGAACGCTTCTGGACGATGGATAGGGTCGGCAGGTAGCTCTTGTTCTTCTTCAGCAGCACCGTACGCTCTCCACCGTTCTTGGCTCCGCCGATCTTCTTCACAACAGTAATGGCGACCTTCGGCTTCTCGGCACGCACCTTCTTGACATTCTTCAGGGAGAACAATTTCTTGTGGGCCTTCTGCTTACGCTTGAGATAACGACGTACTCCATCGGTCAGGGGCTGGAACTTCTTGGCGGCGGGTTTTTTCACTACTTTTCCACCCTTTGGGGCCGCGGCGGCCTTTTCCTTGGTCGGGGCCATCTCAAAACACGTGTAAATAAGTGAAACACACTCGTAGAAAAGAACTCCCTTTTGAGGTTACGCTTCCAACAACTGTCACCGAGCAAAGAGCGGCGCTGGCGTCGCAAAACGCATGTCAGTTGTGACAGTTTGCATGACAACTGGATTGCGTTTCCGATTCTTGCAGATCGTTGGGTATCGGATGATAAGTCCGAATAGGAACAAAATTTGTTATTTGAGTCAAAAATATTGTTATTGTAGAGCTTTTTGATGTTTAATCGGCGCACGCTACTGCACCAACAATCAATACGAAACTAACGATTTTAAATTGGCTCACCACTTTAGTAGCCTATTGGTCCCAAGCAAACGATTAACGTACCCTATTCTAGTTGAAATTCTATTACTACACTATGTTTGTTTTGATTCGCCATGAAAGTTTGACAGATAACATCAGGGGTGTGTGGATTCATGCAGAACATGCAGGGGTGAGTGAAATAGCTTGGGACTGCTTGGGACCGTTGTTCTGGTACTGAGTGAGCCAAAAATAATAATGATTTTCTTCGGGACCCAGTGGTCTTAGAGTTACCTCTATGACTGCACCATTTAAATCGAACAAGTATCCATGTGTGCTAGATAGAGAAAGATGATTAAACGTCAAAAGGGTCTATAGTTTAATGTACAGCCAGAAATTCTCAGAGGCATGCTTGGCATACACAGTTTTGGTCACGAACTGCTCATTTGCTAATAACTTTGCACACAGTTGACGGAACATAGTTCTTTTTGAAGCAGTAGATAGAATAGAGTGTAAGCTTGTTATAGATATGTAAAAAAGGAGATTTTAATGCTAGTAGTAAACTGTATTTGTGTTTGCGTTGTAAAAATGAGGTGAGAAATGCTCACTACACATCTCGAAATGTAGGTGTTAAATTGATTAGTGTTGATTCAAATGTTAAGCTTTACCTAATCTTCGCATATCTATAGTAAACTATGAGCCTAATCTATCAATTACTTTAAAGAAAAATAAATTTCAACATCTGAGTGAAAAGTTATTACCAAATGAGCAGTTGGTGTGTACAACCAACAATCAATACGAAACTAACGATTTTAAATTGGCTCACCACTTTAGTAGCCTATTGGTCCCAAGCAAACGATTAACGTACCCTATTCTAGTTGAAATTCTATTACTACACTATGTTTGTTTTGATTCGCTATGAAAGTTTGACAGATAACATCAGGGGTGTGTGGATTCATGCAGAACATGCAGGGGTGAGTGAAATAGCTTGGGACTGCTTGGGACCGTTGTTCTGGTACTGAGTGAGCCAAAAATAATAATGATTTTCTTCGGGACCCAGTAGTCTTAGAGTTACCTCTATGGTACAACCAACAATCAATACGAAACTAACGATTTTAAATTGGCTCACCACTTTAGTAGCCTATTGGTCCCAAGCAAACGATTAACGTACCCTATTCTAGTTGAAATTCGATTACTCCACTATGTTTGTTTTGATTCGCTATGAAAGTTTGACAGATAACATCAGGGGTGTGTGGATTCATGCAGAACATGCAGGGGTGAGTGAAATAGCTTGGGACTGCTTGGGACCGTTGTTCTGGTACTGAGTGAGCCAAAAATAATAATGATTTTCTTCGGGACCTACTAGTCTTAGAGTTACCTCTATGGTACAACTGTGCATGCCAAGCATGCTCAGAGGAATAGATGAGCAGAGAGATTTTTTGATCTAAACAGGAAAGAAATTTAGCGACGCCGGTGGTGTAGTGGTAAGCGTGATTACCTCTCACCCCAGCAGACCTGGGTTCAATCCCAGTCGGTGCCGCCGGGATGTTCTGAGGCATAACATCTCTGATCACGCCTTCCTTCGGACGAGAAGTAAAGCCGTTGGTCCCCGGGTGATGGGTCGATGGGTATCCAGGTATGGTAGCTGCCTCCCTGGCGTCGGTAGCATTGGTGCACAGCACGAAAAACAAGATCGACGGAAAACAAATCAAGGAAAAAAAGGTAAGGAATTCGAATAATTAAAAAACACCCGCGACACCAGCGTTTTAACATCCGAAGATGGCATGTAGTATAGATCGATACAAACCAATCTGAATGCCGCAGTTTCCTCCTCCGTTTCAAAAGTCATCTCTTCCAGCATCTGCAGCAACTCGGAAGCGCATGAAATATTAAAGAAAAAACATAGATACTTCGATCACCCTGCGATTATTACGATGTGCAGCAGCAAATGAATAAAAGTAATAGGGTTGTATCAAGGGGTAAGTCACTCTGCCAAATTGTGTTAACACTCACAAAAACACACTTCGACACACTTAAAACACCCACAAACACCATTACATCGCATGATAAGCATATTTTTAATCAATTCTGGCACCACTGCAAATACTGTTTACATTCGTACCATCCTGCCGGTAAAGAAAAGCATTCTGGATTTGGATTAAAATCCAAAGAAAAGGAAATCCGAAACCGGTTGGGATCCACAAAAGCATCAGGCGTTACAGATGCTAAAAAAGGTAAATGTGTCGCAAGAAAACCAAGCCAAACGCAACGGAACAGTTTCTCATTGTAAATCGTAGGTTCTCACCAGCATCAGCCCAATCACGGCCTCACCAATAAAATGCAAATTGCACATATTGCTTGGTCCTTCTTCCTGGGTGTCACGTGCCCATTCGTCTTTCTCCTGCAGCGGCAGGGCCTGTCTCACTCTGGAAGCCGGTGCACCGAGCTGCGGTCGTATTAGCTCCAAATAATCTTCCCGTCGGGTTTGCTTTTTCATTAAACAAATAACAGCAAAGGAGTCGCAGGAGGTTGTTTAGCCGGAATAGCCCAAGTTGGACTTCAAACGGAAGGTCTCTAACTCGGTCTCTAACGGCCAAGAATGCCATTTTGTTCGACCATCGATTCAAAATTGAATTTCCCTAGTATGACACCGGATTCACACGGAATATGTACTACCATAGAGATAACTCTAAGACCAGAAGGTCCCGAAGAAACGAGCTCAACTTTTTGGCTCAGCTCTGGTACTATCTTCGGTCTCAAGCTAATCGATTCACCCCTCGAAACTTGGGAAAATCGAGGGGGACGACTCTATCTACGCTGCAGGAAAGATTAGGGGTATTCACTATGCGCATCGTAAACATATACAGTGTCGTAAAAATACCAGGGTCAATTGGAGTGTAATGGAAGTTTACGCACTTACGAGGCTGTACCAACAATCAATACGAAACTAACGATTTTAAATTGGCTCACCACTTTAGTAGCCTATTGGTCCCAAGCAAACGATTAACGTACCCTATTCTAGTTGAAATTCTATTACTACACTATGTTTGTTTTGATTCGCTATGAAAGTTTGACAGATAACATCAGGGGTGTGTGGATTCATGCAGAACATGCAGGGGTGAGTGAAATAGCTTGGGACTGCTTGGGACCGTTGTTCTGGTACTGAGTGAGCCAAAAATAATAATGATTTTCTTCGGGACCCAGTGGTCTTAGAGTTACCTCTATGGCTGTACACGTTTACGATGCACTTTGTGAATTCCCCTATTGTGTTGTGTTGTGGCTAGCTGCTCACACGCTGAGTAGATAGAAAGAAGATTGATGAAGATTCTGAAGATTTCCTGCAAAAAGATGATGCGCGATGCAAGTAGATACGAGAAATGCAAGGATATTTTTCGAAGATTGATTCGCTAGTGTGAGATTTGTTGAGTATCTAAAATTGAGATTTAGATGTGTCGCCCCCCTCGGAAAATCCACTAACCCCTCATTTTATCTGTCAAACTTTCATAGCGAATCAAAACAAACATAGTGTAGTACTGGAATTTATACTAGAATGGGGTACGTTAGTCGATTTGCTTGGGACCAATAGGCTAGTCAAGTAGTGAGCCAATTTAAAATCGTTAGTTTCGTATTGATTGTTGGTACTACCACAAACGAAGTGACAGACGGAGCGGCTCGAAAACTTTGGTGACTAACCTGCTATTGCAATTTTTTCAGTGTACCACATGGCAACACCACTACTACTGGATTGTATCACATGGCAACACTAGTACTAGATTGAACTAGCATTTTCACCAAATGTACTAGAATGTTTTGGTTCTATCTCTTTCACTCTACTCAAAACTGAAATGCATAAAAAAATGACAAAATGATACGCACTCTTTGCACACTGTCAAAGAATCATTGTACACAAAATCAACTTTGTTCAAATGAAAACAAAAAAATCTAACCCATCTGGTGAATGATGGCACAAGCTTCCAAGAAAATTCTATTACAGTGAACCACATTATTTTAATGGATTTCTTCGCCAGTTAGTCGTCTGTCACTTCGTTTGTGGTACTACCCTACCCTAAAGTGGTGCTGGGAATTATTCGAAATGCTCCATTCGCCAAAGTGTCACTTCCTTTATGCCATAAATGGCATGTGACGATGCGATGAATGCCATAGGAATAAAATAGCGACTGTCTTTTATTAATTTTAATAAACAAACAGAGAAACTTTTGATATGATGAGTTTCACGTTTTTTTTTAAAGCTCTGTACTTTCTACCAAAAAGAACCAATGATAACTTTTCATTCGATTAGGGTTGATGCATATATTATGTCACGCTCTAAGGGGGGGGGGGGGTCTAAGATTTTGTGACAAGCAATGCATTAGGTATAGGAAAAACTTCACGATAGGGGGGGGGGGGGTAATTTTTTGCTCGATTTAGCGTGACACAAGGGGTTGGTCACTCTACACAGTGTGCCAAAATCAAACTTTAGCACACCCGGGTGCAGTAATTGGCGCTGTTTGGCACCCACGGTTACAATTTTTTATGATCTTTAAAGTTACTGGCAACACTGAACTTTTTCTGCGCCTGCGCAGTTTGCATGTGTCAAAATTTGTTATTGATGTTGCCACAATATAATCAAATTATTTTCAAAACACTAGGGTAAACGCTCCTATAGTTGCGGTACGTTAGAAGCGTTAGGTTCCTATAGTTGTGTATGGAGACTCCATACACAACTATAGGAACCTAACGCTTCTAACGTACCGCCACTATAGGAGCGTTTCCCCTACCGTGAATCTCAACGAAGTCTCGCCATGGATTCTCACAATCGTTAAACCCGTGACGGCAGTCGCGTCCACATTTCCTCCCAGACGAAGAACAGCTGACAGCAGTCGCAGCCGTGGGAGCTGCATCGATAATTCGTGTAGCCGTGGCCGACGCTGGAAATCTTGGGCCGGTCACGACAAACGGTGCTTGAGTTTTAATCAGAAAGTCAACAACCAAAACAAAAACTGACCATTCGAACTGCTCGAATACATCCATGGCGGTAGCTGCTACACCGTCTTGGCAAAATCTCAAATAGTTCAACAAATTATTTTTACTCTCCTGCCTTTTTGCACTTCCAACTACCATAATAAGAAATTATAATTACAAATCATAACATTAATTACACAGAAAAAGGAAAACCCGCATAAACGCGAACCATAAATTGACCTTACCTAAAATGGTTAAAAATTGTTTATAATCCCTGCTAAACTTTAACTGAAATGGTTATGGAACTTTACATGAACGTTTAATGATAAAGTTTCAACCTTATGTATTATGGTTTTTTGGAACTAGACCTTACAAATAATGGGTTGTTAAGAACCATTACCATTACCAAATTCTTGTTTTCTCCATACATTTTCGGAAAGAGAACTATATTAGAACCTTTTAACTTATGGTTTGAGAACTTTAATGGTAATGGTTATGGTAGTCAGTAAGGTCCACGAATGGTTTTGTAACATCGATCAACTTTATGTGGAATATATCGTGAATTGGTTGCCTGTAATTTACTGATTACCAATTCACGTTATATTCCACGTAAAGTTGAGCGAGAATACAAAACCATTAATGGACCTTACTGACTACCATAACCATTGCCATTAATGTTCTCAAATCATAAGTAAAAATGTTCTTATATAGTTCTCTTTCTGAAAATGTATGGAGAAAACAAGAATTTGGAATGGTAATGGTTCTTAACAACCCATTATTTGTAAGGTCCAGTTCCAAAAAACCATAATACATAAGGTTGAAACTTTATCATTAAACGTTCATGTAAAGTTCCATAACCATTTCAGTTAAAGTTTAGCAGGGATTATAAACAATTTTTAACCATTTTAGGTAAGATCAATTTATGGTTCGCGTTTATGCGGGAATCCTTTCTTTCTTTTCTCAGAAAAAGCTTCCGCTCTTCCAAGCTTACGTGTTTTCATTGTTCTCGTTGCTCCACGCACCGGAGACTTGGAGAAGGAAAAGCACAGCTTCATAATGAACGGGAATTTTGTGCCTTTGTGATCGATCGCGCTGTGGTTGCACTTCATGATGGCGTACACCGCCAGGGCTTCCCTCGGGAACTCGATCAATCCGAAGGATGAACGTTCCGATTTCAGCGGGAACATTCGCACTTGCGACGCGTGGCTTTCCTTGGTGGCGAATGCAGTCAAAAGCAGATCCTCGGACATACCGGGTGGGGTATTGAAGAAGTGGAGAAGCTTGCTCGGGAATTGAAGCGATTGTTCTTGGAGGTGCTGTACACCTTGAAGATGATCGAATTGTCCGGCATAGTATACGGGTTGGTGGACTCTGACAAGTAGTTCTGCTTGGAACATGCAATTTGAATTTTGATACCATCATTTCCATTAATTCAATGTTGTTCAAGTGCTGGATGCTGCGTTCAACTGATTTGACTGCGATGGCGTCTCCCATCTGGACCAAGGCGGTACCGAGTCCGTAGACCATCATCACTGCGCCCTGTTGCTGTGCTAGTTGAATGAAGTTGGCTGGTCCGTTTCGGGTCATCGGGTTGGGCCCTTCGTCAGTCCGACGTGTGATCTGGCCGGTGCTGGTTTCCAGTTTTCCGACGGATGATACTCGGGCGGTAAAATCCGTTTCCTCCGCCGGCTCCCAGAAGGGCTGGTTGACTAATGATTGACGTTCGTTGTGCGGGGTCGGCCTTCCGCCGAAGATGGAAGGATCCTGTAGCAACGGAGCTCGTCCGTTGCAGGCATCCTTGGCACCCAGTGTGTAGTCCCAACTGGAGTCCGTGTCTTCGCGCTTCGCATTGACGTCGCTGTCATCACCGAAACACACCTGAAGCTATGTTCATAAATGTTCTTTTGAAAACATTGAAAAACAAAACAAAAATGTTAAAATACCGGGTTGCCAAACACGACATTATTCACAAGCAAACAAAAGTCTGTTCAATGACTTCTTGGCACTGCCTTTACAACTGCGGCACACTGAGGTACAATGAGAAAAATGTTGGCACAAAATAAGTGTGTAGAGTGACCACCCCTTGGCGTGACATAATTAATGCATGGGCCCTTATACCAATGGTTTTTTTCTCGGTTTTTTTTTCAATTCTATTAACGATATTTTTTGTGTGTAAGGTCACAAAAATTTCAAATTAAAAAATAACCCCGTAAATATGCATAAAGAGTCGTTCAGAATAGCGGAGATTCACGGTAGCTACAAAATAAATATCATTCGTTCACCTAAACCAGGCGAGTTTCTCACTGCGTGCTCACACTTCACCTCGTACTTCACAAGAAAATTGTCCATAACAAATTACGTTTTCTTAATATTTACTGCTGTTCGAACTAGTCCGGCTGAACCCCCGTTTCTTGCAGTCGACGATTCCGCGTTTCAGCCGGCTCTGACAGCTGTCAACCTCAGCGTTTTGTGAAACGCAAAGTTTTTTTTTCTTTTTTTGTTCTTTTTCGTCCGCGATTGGTTGTCGTTCGGCCTGACATCTTTCTTTTCTGCTTCTACCACGTTTTGCTAAAGTTGTGGTTCCACCAAAATGTATAACTCTGTGTCGAAGAAACGCCGGGTAATTGCCATTTTCTGCTGTCTAGGATAGTTTGGTGCAGTGCAGGAATCCGTAGGAATGTGTGGAGTGTCGATTTGCCCCGGTTCCGTCCGGGAAAAGGGTGAAAATCCGAAGCTGCGCCGACGGCTGTCATCGGATAATCAGCCTCAGAGCAGCATCGAAGTGACGGGATGATGAACGGAGGGTAGTTCGAGAGGATTGTGAAAGATTTTTTTTCTTGATTGGGAGGAATATTGGGTCGTTTTGATTGAATGGAGTGCGATTTGTGGTGAGGAGCATTGATCGGGAGAAAGAAGTGTTGATTTTGCGTGGAATGGATCCAAAAAAGTTCCCAACAGTTTCAGTGTTTACTGGCATCGACATAACCTAGACGGATACCCTGCACTGTCTTCTCGTCTGAGTGGTAGTAAACAACAGTTTCTGATCATACGATCTTCTTTTCTCACAGTTCGTTGCCAATGGCATGTTCCGTGCTGAATTGAACGAGTTCCTGACTCGTGAGCTGGCCGAGGATGGCTACTCCGGTGTTGAGGTCCGCGTCACTCCGACCCGTACGGAAATCATCATCATGGCCACTCGCACCCAGAACGTGCTTGGAGAGAAGGGACGCCGCATCCGTGAGCTGACCGCTGTTGTCCAGAAGAGGTAAGTTGGATCTCCGAGAGTTTTGATTTGTTTTGTTTGTGTTTTTGTTGTAGGCAATAGATTCAAATTTAAAATTCAGTGGCACGAATCAAGATTATTGAGCTTCTGATCTTAAGGACCATAGCATGAAAGACGTACCATATATTTGTAATCGTAATATTCTAGACACCTTGTAGCGTATTTTAACCAAATATGGTCTGTGCACCTGCTTTACTCTCTAAAATTCTACGTATTTTATGCACGTCCTTTATGGGTTTTGCGGTTCGGAAGAGATGTAAAAGAATGTTCAGTATCTTTTTTTGTAAAAATAACAAACAAATGGAAATCTAACGGTTGTTGTTTCTCTTTCCTCCAGATTCGGATTCGCCCCAGGAACCGTTGAGCTGTACGCCGAGAAGGTCGCCACCCGTGGTCTGTGCGCCATCGCCCAAGCTGAATCGCTCCGCTACAAGCTGATCGGAGGTCTGGCCGTCCGTCGTGCCTGCTATGGTGTGCTCCGTTTCATCATGGAGTCCGGCGCCAAGGGTTGCGAGGTTGTCGTGTCCGGCAAGCTGCGTGGTCAGCGTGCCAAGTCGATGAAGTTCGTCGATGGTCTCATGATCCATTCCGGAGATCCGTGCAACGAGTACGTTGACACGGCCACCCGTCACGTCCTGCTGCGTCAGGGTGTCTTGGGTATTAAGGTCAAGATCATGTTGCCTTGGGATCCAAATGGCAAGATCGGACCGAAGAAGCCCCTGCCGGATAATGTGTCCGTGGTGGAGCCTAAGGACGAAATTATGTACAGCACCCCGCGTAGCGAACCCAAGAACAAGCCAACGTTGGAACTGGGGGAAGTCGTGGAGCCTGTGGCCACTAGCTAAGCTCTTAATTGTAATGTTTACAATGTAACTGAAGAAAGGGGAGGAAATATATTGGAAATGTGAGCCAAAAAAAAACTGGAAAAAAGTGTAATATGATTGGTAATTGGTGTAAACATTTATTATCCGATAACGCAAAACATTCTAGACGTTTTATAATAATTAACGCTAATGCACTATTACTTTGTTCCGAAGTCGCATGAATTTGCTCTGGTTTGTTCGATTAGTACGTAGTTGCTCCGGCGAGCTAGTCATGACCGCGCTGTTTCACCTCGCTCCAATCTATCGCATGGAAGAACGCATTCGCGATGATCTCCTTGAACTCGAATCGGTTCTCCGGTAGGGGTTGAAGGAGCTGAAAATTTGAGAACATTAGAATCCGAGATATCTGCACGCGAAATAAAATACCAACCCCTTCCAGTAGTTCCCTGGCCTCACCGGAGATGTCCACCCCTTCCGGGTACTGAATGTCGTGGTAGCACAATACTCCCGCCGGATGACAGGACAGGAAGCTCTTGTGGGTAAGCATTTCGAACAGTATCACTCCCACAGACCAAAAGTCCGACTTAGCTTGTAGGGGGCGTTCCGGAGCTACGTATAGCCGTTGGACCGCCTCCTGGCGAAGTTCCGTCGAGAGGGTTGTGATGTTTGGGAACTTTTCCCTCCGATAGAAGTACGTTAGCATCAGCTGACCCTCCGGCCCCAGCAGCAGGTTGTCCATTGCGAGGTCACTGCAACGGGAAAGATGAGATTTGAATATGTAGGTATATTTTTTTAAAGGAAATCCTACCCGCAGATAATCCCATTAAAGTGCAAATTATCGACGGCGATAACCAGCTCGCTGATCCACTGCTTGATGCATCCTTCTGGAATGGGATCGAAGTCCACTCCGTTCATCGTTCCTAACTCTAATTGACTAGTATCGATGTGGGGTCGCTTCGGGACCTCAACAATCAATTCCTCTCGCTTCTGCTCGGCCGATCTACACATTTCTTTCGGATCCGGTTCCTTTTGCGACTGTTCTAGCGTTTGCGAAACGGATCTCAACAGCTGCTGACTGCAGCTGACCAGATCTTTGACATCCATGTCCCTCGAGAGGACATCGAACGATGGAATGTACTCCTGAGTGCTCTCCTCGCCTTCCGGTTCCACACGATGATCTACCTCGTCCGCTTCCAGACCATGTTCCACTTCTTCCTCCTCGACCGTGTGTACCTGTTCTTCAGTCTTGTCCCCTATCGTTTTCGTCTTCCTGTTGTAATCATTTACGAGATCAATAAAACCGGAATCGTAACCCGCCGTTTGGCTCGAGTCGGATTCATTGAAAAGTTCCTGGCTTTTCGCTGTCGGTTCGGAATCCTCCTGCGGTTCTGTCGCAACCGAAGGCGGAGATTCTACATATTCCTCCACCAGATCATCTTTCTTCCGGTAGCTGGCGATGTAATCCCAAAGCTTACCACCGCAAACTAGCTTCAACAGCAGGAAGACACTGGATTCCGACTGGAAGTAGGCCACCAGGGGCACCATGTAGGGAACATCGTGAGGGAAGAACATTGCATGACAGAATCCAGGCGGTTTTCGAATTCCTTTCATAATGTAGAACTTCTTGTCCGTTACATCCTGAACTTGCATGACGCGTCCTTCCACAACACGCACCACCTTGTACCGGGAGAGATAGTTAAGAGGACGCTCCAGCAGCTGAATCGGCGAACTTGGATCATTCAACGAGATTGGACTCAACTGAAGGATATCATCTTCCTCCTGATACAGGAGGAACTTCTCATAGATCTCTTCTGCCCGGGCAACGTACTTGCATGTCTTTTCCTTGGCGATTTTTTTCCTGGTGGCATTGGAATCATCTACGAATGGAAGAAAATCTTATTTCACACCCTCAAATCCCAACCAACAAAAACCACCTACTCTTAGCTCCGCTCAGCAGCTTGTCAATCCCCGCCTTGTATCTATTGAACGCCTCCCTGTAGCTCCCATTGGCTTCCGCTTGGACCGCTATACTGAACACCATGGCGGCTTCCACGATGTAATCCATAGAACCCTCCACTTCCTCCATCTCACCATCAACACAATCCCGCCCAATCCCGGCTGTCACCGTCATCGTCAATGTCACCGGTTCTTCCTGTAAGCTTGACTGCGAAAACATCGAATCCCCCATTGAACCATTCCCAGTCCTCACGGAATCACCCGCACTGCTACTAATGTCATCCACAGCACCATCCTGCTCGCTGTCTTCGCCACTCCCATCGCACCTACTCGGATCGATCAGTTCGATCTCCTTCGGCACCGGAATGGCCAGATCCTCGCATATCGCTGCAATGTTACCGCCATTTAGCGGAGAACCCTCCGGCGAGATTCCCCGTTCGAAAAACTTTACAAAAGCGTACGACAGGAACAGGACTGGTTCCGCTCCGGCGAAGTCTAACAGCTCCAGAATGTATCTTTTCCGGTCTTCAATAACCCTCGGATCGAATCGCTTAAAGTAGGTCCTTTCCGACAGGGCCGGAACCGTGCCTGGCAGGTGCCGCTCTCGATGCTTCCGGACGAGTTCTTTGTACAACTTTTTGACGTCACTGAAGCGCTTCCACAGAGTCACGTTCGTCAGGGCCTCCGGGAGATAGCATGGAAAGACCTTCGAGAATATAATTATTGATCATATCATAAATCACATTCAAACTGAAACTTCCACTATTTCTACTCACAATGGAAGATATCTTATAGATCGTGTAACCCTTATGTTTTCGCGTTTCGGTGATGCTAAATCTGTGAATCCAATCTTGGAATTTTCTACTCTGCTCCATTGCCATCTCCTGCAATATGTGGGTGGCGAACGTCCTGCTCGCCCTTGTAATAATAATTATTGCACTACCAAATTAATACTATAATTCACTTTTAACACAATAATGGTTACATTGTTTCTGCAAGCAGCGAAACGCTCGCGCTGGCGTCACACTTAAATATCAATTCAAAATTCGCTAAGATACTGCTATTAAAAATTACAATTTTTCACAAAAAGTACCAGTCTGTTTTGGTGTCGCGAAATCGATGCAGTTTCTAGGCAGCCATATGACAAAGTTATGTTCCTTATATGCAAGCAATGGCATTCAAACGTAAAATCCCCGAAAAATCACAATACACTCACGCAATCTAACTGATTGATAAAGAGTTGTTAAATTCTTGAATATATCATTAAAAATTCATGCCTGGACCTATCTGGATGAGTTTTAGATCGCAAGAAATAATAATTATTTGCGTTAGGCAGTTAGTCCATTTTCACATGTTAGCCTAGATTATGATAATTCGAATGACATAAGGTGGGTGCATAAATGCATCGGTCTGGATTCTTGACAGTTGGAGGTGGATTCTGCACGGTAAGAAAAAAGTGCCCAAAAGTAATAAAGACTACACAGCAAAAAAAAAATGGGTAATATCGATCAACGTAATTCAAGCTGATGTATGAAATAATGATGTAATAGCAAAAGGCAGATACAATATTACATCAATAGATGTAATTTTGTTCGCAAAATCGATGTACATCCTACACGGATAGAAATATCCTTATACCTTTTGGCAAATTTCCATTGCTGATTATTCATAAAATGTATAAGTCAACTAATAAGCAGACGCCTTGCAAAAAGTTAATAAAGATCATGTGTCAAATGAAATGTATAAGCGGTCACACATACCTATAGGACCTATGTGGTTTGTCTTATGGAATGTATAAGGCTGATGCTTTGGCAAAAATGTATAAGTGAAACACATGAATTAAATAATTGATTTTCGTTTCGTGTAGAACGCAATATTACACAACCTGCGGAATGACCTCTGTGCAGCTGTTTGGATGTAATATTCAGCAACTTTTTTTTCTGTGTACTTAGTAATGCAAATTGGGTTGTTAGCGGAATGGTTCAATAAAACAGCAAAAAAGGTTATCTTCCATTTAATTCCACTTACTTAATTTTGGTATCCATGACAGATACGTATTTCAACTACAATGTGCAGTCTTCATCAGTGTCATTCCCACTAAAGAACTTATCAAAATATAACCCCCTTATGTACTCATTCCTAGGTAAAAAAAGTCAAGATCGCATAAAAATGAAACAACACGGTGAATGAGAACGACTCAAATTTGAGTTTAGTTCACTCATAATCGCCAAAAGTGCAGGAACTAAGCGATGAGCAAATTTGCCTCATGTTCTCCCAGGTTTTTTTTTCAGGGAAAAAATCCCGAATTTGAGAAAAGTAAAGATTGGATTCACTCAGTCAATTGGTACTACTCCAAAACTGAATAAAATTTTCGTCAATTTCCTCATTTTCCGGCAGATTTTTTAGGTTTTCCAAATTTACTCATCGCTGAGTTCCTGCACTTTTGGCGATTATGAGTGAAGTAAACTCAAATTTGGGTCGTTATCATTCGCCTTGTAGAGTTCTCCAGATGCACAAAAGTGTGCGTGAGACGTGTTTTTATGTATGGATGATGGATTTTAGTGTTCGTTTCGCAACTGTAGGGATCAAATATTAGTCGGCGTGCGGTCGTTCAGGGTTACCATATCAAAAACTTGAAAAAGAGGGCATTTCATTTGAGGTTTGGCGATTAAGGATGACAATGATTCCTTTCTTAACATTAAAATAGGACAATGAGTTTTTATCAAACGTTTTAATAATAATATTATGTGCGCTAGGTGAACCAGCCTTTAGACTGAAAACCCCTTAAATAAAGAAAAAATAAAATAAAATATGTGCGCTATCACAAAATTCATAATTTCCAAAGGTTCAATCAAAGATGAATACTAAGATGAAACTGTCGGAAGAAAAACTTTCTATTTTAGTGTCCTCTTTCACGGTCCCTTTCATCCAATGAATACCTCCCGTAATCAAGGTAATTTTGTGGTTTTGCTGCCCCCTTGGTAGAGATGAAATTTTGCGCTCATTTTTTATCAAAACAAACACACCAAAATCAGAGATGTCCCATTTTTTAATTACTCGATCAACAACTAATCGATTATTTTTTGTTCGCTGTGCTGCCATTTTTCAACCAATGAGAGTGCAGCACATGTTTGAAACGATCGGTGATGATCCTCTGGAGATGGTAATGCTTATATCGGCATGATATAACCGATTACACATATTTTACTTTTCGGTTCGTTAATCGATTAATCGATTATTCGAATGAAAATTGACCATCACTAGATGAATGTGAAACGTCATTTCAAATATAAGGACCGTACCAGCGTTGCCAGATATACCGATTTATCGGTATTTATACCGATTTACAGATAAGGTTTCTCAAAATACCGATTTTTGAGTTTTAATACCGATTTATAGCGATTTTTTTTATTAATAATCAAAATGATTATTGTCTGCACTAAATTGTCACAGGAAGCTATTGTGACAGACTTTTATCTTTTTGAAAATTAACATTTTTGAGAGTGTTCTAAAAAAATTTCATCTTAAAAAATGTCGTATGATTGATACTCTTTCGACTAATGCTTCCATTTCCTCGCCATTTTTGTTTACCAAGGAGTCGAGAAACAGCTAATGAGTCTTCCCAGTAATTTCTGGAAATCGGGAAATACTTCTATTCTTTGAAAAAATAGGTCCATAAAAACGTTAATTTTTGAACTTCCTGAAATTTCTTCAATCTTTCCTTTGAAGTTGCTTCCAATTTTCCCTAGGAATTTCCGTCCACCTTAGCCTGTAATTTATTTTCCTATTTCTTCCGGAAAGCTATTTCGTCTTCTCTTGGAAGCTTCTTCTGGCTTCGCTCGAAAGGTTCTCCCGTCTCCTCCCGTCAGTTTTTTCAAATTCCCCGGTACTTCAGAAATGCTTCCAGAGTTTTATTGCGGTTCCATTAGTTTCAAGAAAACTTCAGGAACCTTTCAAAAGTTCTGAAACTTCAGAATAGTTCGGACTTTTAGGTAGGTTCCCATAAATTAAAGACAGTTTCATGAACTTCTGTTCAAATTCGAGAACCCTGAAACCTCAAGAAAGCCCAGAGAACTCTAATGAACTTAAGGAAAATGAAATATTTTGGAATCTTCACAAGACCAAAGAACTTCAAAGAAATTTAGTGGTTTTCCGGATAGTTCCATTTGTTTCAGGAGAATTGAGATAACTTTAGGGAAGCTCTGAGAACATCAAGACATATAAATTCAAGGAAATTTATGAATCTTTAAATGAGTTTCGAGAAACTAAGATAATTTTCGAAAACTTCAGTTAAGTTCCGAGAGGTTCATGATAATTTTGGAAACGTAAGGAAAGTAACATCAACATTAGACAATTGTGAGAACATTTTAAGGGAAGTTCTGTGTTTATTATCGGCAGTTTACAGAACTTTAAAAAAAATTTAAAAATCGGGAAGATCAAAGAACTTTAATGCTGATGTTCATTAGTTAAAAAAAAAGAATGCACTAAAGATGTTCATGGGACTTTTAAAGAAGATAAGAGATTTTCCGGTAGTTTCAAACTAATCACTATTTAATTAATAATTAATAATTAACTTTAGGGAAATTGCAAGAACTTTCAAGGAGTTCCGAAGAATTATGGGATATTCTGAAGTGGAATTCAGGAATGTTCCGAAAACTTCAGGAACATTGTGGGATTTTCATGGATGTTTTATGAATATCAGGAAAATTGCTTGATCAATAGAGCATATGAGTAACTACAGGGAATATTGTGCTAACATCCCCAAGAAATCTAAATCTTCCAGATATTTTCCCATCTTCTTCTTGAAGTATCTTTCGACTGTTCCGTACGCCCTCTGGCGTTCGACTTTTTCCAGAAGTTTCTTCCAATCTACTTAACGAAGTTTCTCCCAGTGTCTCCTGGAAGTTTCTTCCGTCTTCTCCAAGAAGTTCAATTAAAGTTCAACCGGATGCATCTATCGAGTTCTCCCAGAAATTTATTTTGTCTTCCTATTCCAAGTTTCTTCATAAGTCACTCTCCGTAGGTTTTTTCCGACTTGTTGGAAGGTTTTTCCTAACTTCCCCAGGAAATGGGTCCTCCGAGATTGGATTCAAATTTCCAATCTTTTCGGACTTCTGGATTTTTTTTCGAAAGTTACTAAAATATGTTTGCCAGAAGGTTCTCAATGTTTGTCTTGCAAGATCCCGGATGTTTATTAGACATTTTTTTGGAACTTCCTTCAAACTTTCTCCAGAAGATCTTCTTTATTCTTCCTCTGGAAGTTTAGTTGGTACCATTAAGAGACTTATTCAAATATTTCCCAGAGATTTCTTCCGATTTACATAGAAAGTACAACTTTCGATTTTAGTCCATAAAAAATTGAAAAAAAATAAAATTAATTAAAATAGTGAATACCGATAAATACCGATTTTTTAATCATTTGATACAATTGTAGAGAGTAATTGAAACACGTCTTTATCGGTTGACGTTGAACAGTGGAATGAAAATTTTATTCAGAAACTTAGCAACTAATAACAAGTGCATATAGCGACGCGAATTACTGGGTTGCTACGATCACAATACTCCTCCCTAATCCGCGACGCCAGTTAGCTTCCGAAACTTCTGCTGCTTCTGAACGGTCATCGGCTTCGTGAACCCATCGGCTGGCTGTTCCGTTGTCGACGTGTAGCTCAGTTGGACGACACCATGCTGCAGGCTATCATGCACGAAATGGTACCGTATACTGACGTGCTTGGTCCGGGGGTTATACGAACCGTTGTTGGCGATGCTGATTGCCGATTGATTATCGCAGCACACGGAAATCGGTTTGGCTTCGCAAAACTGCGACTGCAGATTACTCCACCACATAGCTTCCTGGATCGTGCGAGACATGGCCATGTATTCCGCTTCACAGGACGAAAGGGCTACGGTAGGCTGCTTCTTGACGTTCCCAACTATGTCCGCTGGACCGCTTGTC